GAAAGCCCTTTAAAGATGAAATCTCAGACAGATCAGTGCCAGTAAGAATAATGCCATTCACATACACAGCTAAAATAACTAAGGAAGAACCAGAACCCCTAGTGAATAGGGAGTAGTCATTCAAAGAATGAGAATATCCTCTAGAGCAAAGATCTTGAGACCATTTTGCATACCATTGTCTGGAAGCCTGTCTCAAACCATAGAGGGATTTGAATAGTTTACAAACCAAAGGAGGAGGAGGAGGAGAAGAAGAAGAAGAAGAAGAAGAAGAAGAAGAAGAAGAAGAAGAAGAAGAAGAAGAAGAAGAAGAAGAAGAAGAAGAAGGAGAAACAGACAAACCAAGAGGTATTTTCATGAAAACCTCTTCATCAAGATCCCTATGTAGGAAAGCATCATTAACATCAAGCTGGAACAATGTCCAATGCTGTTTGACAGCCACAACAATCAGGGTTTTCACAGTAGACATTTTGACAACAGGGGAAAATGTTTCATGAAAATCAACCCCTTCAACCTGAGTATCACCTCTAACTACTAACCTGGCCTTATACCTCTCTAGAGTCCTACCAGCCTTGTATTTTACTTTTTATACCCATTTACAGCCTATAGGCTTTTTACCAGGGGTAACTCAACAATATCCCAAGTCATATTAGCCTCCAAAACCTCAAACTCCTTTCTCATAGCCTCCTTCCACTCAGGGATAGCAGCAGCCTGTGAGTAACTATAAGGCTCAAGAATATGGAGCTGTGAAGTGGTTGCATTGAATGATAGAGACTCAGAGCTAGAAGAAACAGGGGCAGAAAAGGAAGTAGGAAGTGTTGAACATACAAAGTCCTGAAGATAGGCAGGGACAGAATAAGGTCTACTAGACCTTCTAAGAGGAGGAGGATCAGATGATGGAGCAGAATAAACAGGAGCATGAGAGGGTAAAGTAGAAGCTGAAATATCAGAGGAAAAAGTTGGGGTTAAAACATAAGAGGAAGGTATAGGGATAGAGGGAGATGGAGAAGTAGTTGGATCAGGATGGATAGGTGGGAAAGAATGACCAGAAATAGAAGTAGGTATAGAGGAAGGTGAATCATAAGAAAAGTGATCAAGAGAGAGGGGAGAAGGCAAGGTAGGGTATGGTGAAGGAGAAGGTTTAAGAAAGGGAAAAATGTGTTCATAAAAAATTACATCTCTGGAGACAAAACAAGACTTACTGGTGAGATTGTAAAGTTTGTAGCCCTTTTTGGCAAAAGGGTAGCCCAGAAAAACACATGGGATAGATCTTGGATGAAATTTATCTCTATGGACTTTAGGCATGGTAGAGTAGCACAGGCAACCAAAAGATCTAAGATGGGAATATGTGGGGGCCTTGCCAAAGAGTAATTTATAGGGACTCTTGTTTTTGAGAAGGGGGAAAGAGAATCTGTTTATCAAATAGGTGGCAGTAAGGAGACAATCTCCCCAGAATTTTACAGGAAGATGAGACTGAAACAAAAGAGCCCTGGCAGTTTCTAGCAAGTATCTATGTTTTCTCTCTACCACACTATTTTGTTGTGGAGTGTGTGGGAAAGAGGTTTGATGAATAATGCCTTTTTCAGAAAAGAAAAAAAAGGGCCCCAGAAGAAGAAGAACCTAATTCTAAAGCATTGTCACTCCTTACAGTCTGGACTCTAGTTTGAAATTGTGTTTCAACCATAGAAATGAAGGCCTTCAATAGGTCAAAAGCATTGATTTTAGCCCCCAATAGGTATGTCCAGGTATCCCTAGTGTAGTCATCTAATATAATAAGGAAATACTTAGCACCAGAGTGAGTAGGAGTGGAGTAAGGACCCCAAGTATCTATGTGAACAAGCTGAAAGGAATGAGTGGACTGAATAGAACTATCATGAAAAGGAAGCCTAGTTTGTCTTGCTAATGGACAAATAGGGCATGTGAAGGACTGTTTAGAAGACAAATCACAATTAACACCAGAAAAAAACTTCATCTTGGAAATTGGTATATGTCCAAGTCTATAATGCCAAACAACATCAGAATTATTCACTTTATTTGAAGTAACCATGGTATTTACAGATGAATTGTCATTGCCATCAGCATCAGTAGTAGAGATTACAGGTAAAGAGGAAACAGGTAAAGAAGAAACAACTGAAGAGAAAGAGTTCACAGGAGTAGAGTCAATAGGTGAAGTCACATGCTGAAATAGCTTGTAAAGTCCAGTGTCCAGTCTACCAAGCACCACTGGCTTCTTCACTGAAGGCCCCTGGAATGTGCAAGCAGACTTGGTAAACTGAACAACATCATCACAATAATTTAAAAGCTTGTGAACAGATATGAGATTATGTTTGAAACTAGGAATGTAAAGAACATTATGAAGGATTAAATCAGGGAACAAAGCTAAAGAGCCAACATTGGTGACTTTAACTTTGTACCCATTTGGGAGAGACACAAGATAAGGAATGGGAAGAGTGATTATATCAAAAAGTAAACTTTTAATGAAAGTCATATGATCAGTAGCTCTGAAGTCTATTATCCAAACAATGTCATTCACACTAGATAACATACAAGCTCCATAAGAAACACCCTCATAAGGAATGAGCTTACTAGAAAAGTTAGCAGAAGCCAAGAGAGGTGGAGAGTGTGGGGAAGCAAAAATTTGGGATTGTTGCTATAAGGTCATCATCTAGGATTATTGATACTTGGTGAGGCCATGTATCACAGAAGACTCTTCATGCTCAGCTGGACCAGCAAAACTACCAGGCACAGAATTAGCAGACAGTCAAGATCAAATGTGTAGTAGATCTGCGAGGAGGATGTCCTTTTCTAAACTTGAAATGAGAAGGATATCCATGCAACTTATAGCATTTATCTATTGAGTGACCAGGTTTTTTGCAGTACTTGCAGATAATAGAATTCCTGGTCCCCTCAAAAGAAACCTTGGAGGGAAATGAGAGCATAGAAGTCCCAGCATGAAATGAAGCAGATTGAGATGAGAATTGAGAGGCAGAAGACACTTGTCTCTGTTTTTCATCAGATAATAGGATGTTGTACACATTTCCAACAGATGGAAGTGGCTTCATCATTAGAATATTGATGCGAGTCTGCATATAGGTATCATTCAGACCCATAAAGAACTGATAAACCTTCTGCTCTTCATCCTTAGCAGGTTTCCCTCCACAAGTACAAACTCTGACCTTATAAGATGTTATCTCATCCGAGAGTTGTTTGATTTTGTTGAAATAAGAAGCTATGTCTAAAGACCCTTGAGAAATATAGGCAGACTCAGAATATTCTACGCTATGAGATATTTCTTTTGACAAAGAGTTGATTAACCGGGAAACCACAAGATTATTACATCGTTGCCACTAGCGTGCCAGAGGAGACCCAGGAGGTGTCTTTGTAGAGGAACCACTAATGAAATCAAGTTTATTACGAATGGAGAGAGCAACTAAAATATTTCTTCTCCAGCTGCCATAGCAGGTGCCATCAAACGGACTAGAAACCAAAGAAGTTCCTAGTACATCTAATGGATGCACATATAGAGGGTGACAAGGATGCATAAAATCATCCTCATGAAACACACTACGAGGTGCAGTAGATGAAGAGGAAGGCGTAATAATAGGATTATCATTCGTCATTGTAAGAATATAGGACAACAAAACACAATAGCCAACTAATAGCCAAAAAGATTATGAAATCTGAGGAGGAAACTGATTTGCNATTGACGAAGAAACCCTAGCTCCTAATAGTCGAAACCCCAGCTCGAAATAGTCGAACAAAATCAGTCAATTGCAGTCAAAACCAGTCAATATAGAAATAGTCAAACAAAATCAGTCAATTGCAGTCAAAACCAGTCAATATCTCCATCGAAGACGAAGATCCAGTAGAAATAGGCAAAAATATTCCGAAATCTTCTAGCAAATTCAGAGAAAACCCTAATCCAGCATAAATGCAATTAAAATCCAAAAAATCGACGAAAACTGAGGTGGTTAACATCGATTGGAAGCAGACGAAGTGAACTATCAGGATCTATGCTCTGATACCATGTTAGATGTTGAAAATCTAGAGAAGAAATGGAGATTAGGGAATGGGATGTTGCACTTGAGAAAAGTTTCGAGAAGAAGAGGAAAGGATTCGATATTTTCTCATTATTTCCCAACATGAATTCTTTAGTCTGTACAAAAAGAAATCAAAAGTAATAAACATAAATAGTGGGCCTTGACCCTTGACCCAGTGTCCCAATTACAACTAATTCAAACTAGAATGGGCCACTGCTAAATCTGATTACAATAATTGGCCCAACAATATAACCATCAACTTTTGTCTTCTAATATTCTAACAACAGTCAATCTTGATTGACCTAGGATAGGACTTATTTATAGTCAAGTTCAGAAAGAAGGCTCTTAGTTCTTGTCTGAGAATTTTCTCTCAGTCACGAGATGGGAATCAAAATTTTTCCCACAAGAGGCAACTCTATCCTTCACTACTATATGTGTTTGTTTGCAACAACTGCCTACTGAGTTTTACGATTAAGAAATACTAGAGAAAGTTGGAAAAAAACTAGGCAAACTACTAAAAATAGACACGTGCACATCCACTACAAAAGAACAATGAATTTGCGGCGATTTTTCTTGCGTACTGCTGCGGTTTTTAACCGCCACTATGTCCATTAATGGCGGTACGCTGAAATTGCATTCGCCAAAAACAAAAAATGGCGGTTTTGTAGAAACTACCATAATTGCACATTGCATAAAGTGGCGGTTCCATATTGTTGAAAATGGCAGTTCTAAGATGCCGTAATTTACGGAGTTATTTATATCAAACTAATTCAAGACCACCATAATTGTTCTTATAGTTGTGTCATACCTCTTTCTTTTCCATTTGTAATTCTTCTTTACACTGTTCTCATTCCATATTTATACTCTGCCCAACGCATTAAAAGTTGTGTATTACTTTATAAAGTTTTGATACATATAAAAGAAAGATTAATTAACTAAAGACTCATTCATAATATATAGGAGTATATAAACAGAATAAGCAATTCCAAATTACATCATAAAATGTATTAAAATTTCAAGGAGCAACATTTTACATCCACTCATCATAACAAAAGGAAATAACTATAATAAATTCTAGCAATAGTGGAGTATAAGCATGATCTGTATTGTTATCTCTATCTGGTGATCTTCTTACGTGGTTAGGTGATAGGATGCCACTTCTCATATCCAGTGCCTACAAAATAAATTAAAACAACAAGAAATAAGTAACTCAAATGATCAAGCTACAAACCAATATATTATGCATTTATAGAACAATTGAATATTTTTCCAGTGCAACTACAAAATACGAGACAATATTTTCTCACAGAACTCCCTTACTCATCAAGCGAGAGATTATGATCAATTTGTTGCTGAATGAACCTTCATAGTGCATTTATTTGAAGAAAAAAGCAAAAAAAAAAACTTCATATGTACATTTTTACAATTGCTGAACTTTAATCCGCACAGAACACTCTAAGGAATGAGAGCATCAACACCTTGGATAGCAGGAAGAATACTTTCAGTTTTGAGTCATAGTTGGGTCTCATGAGATCGCACTTATAACAGATTCCAAAGGCTAATCATGCTTAACCCCTTTACATTACTCCATCCTACTTCTGACAAAAGACATTTAGTTGCCTCCTCAAAAAGAGTTTGTTACAACTTACCCCAATATCTGATTTTGAGAGAACCAAAAATAGAGGTCTTAGAATTTCATGTAAGATATATCAAGAGAATAATTTATCCTAAAAGAATAATTTAATGAAAGGAAACTATCCAGTCCAACTAGATCCAGGCATACTTAAGATTAAGACGAGTACGTTGGATACATACCAAAAAAGGAAAGCAAAGAAGAGTAAGGAGAACATATTTACCCTTCGAGCGAAAACACAATGAGACTCGCGAAGCCTCTGCAAGACACGGTGTAACCTTAATGCGTACACTGTAACCGAGCTGCATTCGCAATATTACCTGCCAATTCTACCAAGCTTCAATTCACGCTAAATTTCTAATCCAGACTAGACTTATAGTTAAGCAACCAACAACATAGATATTAATCATAAAGAACACCTCAAATCAAGTAAAACATTATCCCACAGATAGGTAAGTTAAATGAGAAAACCACTTGATTCTTCTTTTCATCAAGACCCAAATTGATATTCCTTGACAATTAATCAATGCGAAGATCATGATCAACATTTAATATTATTTTCAAACATTATCTAATCCCCACAGAGATGAAAAAAATTTATGTTTTCAGTGAAGCATATTGTCAAACACTTTGTGGGGATCAAGTCATCTTATTCCATCTTAGGGCTCGAGGAGTTATGCCACTCTCCTAATTGCAGAATTATAACAATAGATTAAATTCGTGACACCACAGATTCGATTTGCGCACATACTTAATATAGATATAGCATGAAAAAGAAGGAATTAGATAAACTAACCTTAGACTTAAGGAAATGCAAATTGAATGCTTGATAATGTACATGATTGATCAGCAAAACCACATTACTCCTTGAATCTATGTATTAACCTTGATTAGTGAATATACTAGTGAAGTTAGCCTATGCAAAAAAATCCACTGAAATGGCTAGCAAGGTTAGCCTATGCAGAATTTCATAGCTCGCATAAGGAGATATAAATGACCATGAAACACTACGGCACCACACAACTGTTGATTTAATCATCAACTATGCATTGATCCTAAACTAGTAACAACCACTATACAATCCTCTGTACATTTTTCGTTTCCCTGCTATTATATCATTGAACGTCCAACTAAGGGTACTCCCATCCCTACACTGAGGGACAAGTTCTAACCAAACCAATAGGACTTCTAAAAAATTTCAATCATAAGAAATTGGTTCCTTACAACACCAGAAATATAAAATCTAAAAAGAAACAAGCAACAAAAAATCGTACCTGGCACGATAGAGGTTAGCGAACTATTTGCGAGCCTAGCAAGAAGAGGAGATGGAAATGAGAGATTAGAAAAGGAGAGGAGATGAGAGGGATTCACCGCGTCAATGATCCAGATTTGAGCAAGATTTCGTGGGAAGGAGAAGCAGAATACATAGATCTAGGATTCGTTTATTTGTGAGTATTATATGTCTAGCATATTTGAAATAAACCAGAAATTATGTTAAAAATGAAAATATAAGCAGTGGCGGTTTAAAGCACCGTAAAATACAGTTAAATCGCTGTTTTACAAATGTCTGGCATGGGGGATTGAAAGCCGCCCCACAATATGGTGTCTTATGGCGGTTTTGGTGAACCGCCATATGTAACTCTCTGCAATTTTCCTCCTTTTTTGTAGTGATCTTCTACCTTGAGAGGGAGCATGTGTTTGCATTCAAGTACCTCTTGAAACTCCAATGGAAACATCAATCATTGTCGGTGATCATAAACAATCTATAATCTATGAAGGAGAAGGAATTTTATGTAAAAGATGTAGAAGGATAGGGCACACCCTAAAAACATGTGCACATAAGCCTAAACCACCAACCCCTTCATAGGAACAACTTGAATGCTCTGAAGCACGCAATAAACTGGATGAAAAGGATGAATGGAAGATGGTAACTTTCCCAAGGAGAAAGAAACCGTCCCATCCATCAATGCAAGGCCAAACCAGAATGACAAAAGGTGCAAGGAATTTATGGCGATTCAACACAAGGAATTCAGGTAAAAATGTTTGATGCAAATTCTCGTAAGTTCCTTGAAACAAAAACTTTTAATACAATACCAAGAATAATCTCAACAAAATTAACAACCATCAATGGTCTGTTAATTTGACTAACAATAACAAACCCAATGCTCCCCACAAAGCCCAATTCATGCAGGAGAAGCCCAAGTTCAATGCCAAGAGAAAGGCGGGACCAGGACCAGAGGAAATAGGCACAAATATCAACACAGGCCCTACCCAACTCCCAAACCCATAAAATGCAGCCCCCAGCGCAAAACAAGTAAAAATTGCACGGGGCGCCCTATTTGGTCGCCCTCATTTAACCTATACCTATTTTTTTTAAAACTTTTAATTTGTACCCATTTTTTAAACAACTTCAACCCCTTTCTCCTCCTCATTGTCCTTCTTCTCCTCAAAGTTATATCCGCCTCTTCTTTCTCAAACTTCCCCTTCTCCATTTTCTGCAAGAAATCTGTTACGGCTATGTATATAAACCTGTATTCACACAACGTTTTTATCTAAGATTTCGTTTTCAAGAAATTAATAATCATTTTTAGAAAGAGCCTCTAGTACTTGGGATTTTTCCAATATAATTTGTGGAAAAACTTATTGATATAGCCAGAAGCATAATTGAAGCAAGTAGAAAGCTAAGCTTATATATGTGAATTAGATGTTTCTGTGTTCAGAAAAAGAAAAATATGTGTTGTCTGAATGTATAATAGAATTGTATAATGTATTTTCGAATATTAGTTGCTTAGCAAGAAAAATGGCTGAGCAAAGCAAAGTGTGAGTTAGACGAAATGAGGTTGTTGCATTTAAAGTGGACGATAACATAACAAGCTGATTTTTCCAGAAAAAACTTCAGCTCTAGAGCTGAAGTTCGCTAGTTACAAACAAAAACTTCAGCTCTAGAGCTGAAGTTCGCTAGTTACAAACAAAAACTTCAGCTCTAAAGCTGAAGTTCGACAGTTAAAAAATAAAAACTTCAGCTCTAGAGCTGAAGTTCGCCAGTTACAAATAAAAACTTCAGCTCTACAGCTAAAGTTCGGCAGTTACAAAACAAAAACTTCAGCTCTAGAGCTGAAGTTCGCCAGTTACAAATAAAAACTTCAGCTCTACAGCTAAAGTTCGGCAGTTACAAAACAAAAACTTCAGCTCTAGAGCTGAAGCTTACAAACAAAAACTTGCCAATTACGAACAAAAACTTCAGCTCTAGAGTTGAAGTTCGACAGTTACAAAATAAAAACTTAAGCTTTAGAGCTGAAGCTTACAAATAAAAACTTGCCAGTTACAAATAAAAATTTATGACAGTTACAAAACAAAAATGTCAGCTCTAGAGCTGAAGCTTACAAACAAAAACTTCAGGTCTAGAGCTGAAGTTCGCCAGTTACAAACAAAAACTTCAACTCTAGAGCTGAAATTCGACAGATACAAAATAAAACTTCAGCTCTAGAGCTAAACTTCAGGCCCGACTACTAGAATACTGAAGTTTTGTGTGATTGTCTTTGCTACTTCAGCCCCATATGCTGAAGTTATGCGAAAAAGTAGGTACACTTGCAATTATTTTTGCAAAGCTGGCACAAGTTAAAACATGACAATGCCCCCAAAACAACAACCAGGTCCAAGCTTGAAAACAAGAGCCCAATCAAAGGAGGTAGATATGGCCCACCCAATTTCCACAACTCCACTATCGAGGACCATCCCCAATTGGAAAACACCCCTCCTAATGATATACCTTATGCCAACAGCTACACGCTCTCCACTTATCCCCTACCGAAGCACCCTGCAGAAATAATCCCACCACAATCCATGGATACTTAAGTGCATCACCTGCGAAGTCATCCAAACTCAAGATATAAGACAATCTCCATCAACTCAATTGGATCCATAATTAATTCCAAATCCCAGGTACTAGACGCAATTACCAAAGTCAATGGACCGGAATTGACTCGACCCCAAATTTGGAACCAGCCAATATGTATTCCCAATCTAATCCACTCCCCTCCATTACATAAAGAGGAAAAACAAAAAACCCAAAAATTGAACAATCCACCCATCCTCACAACCTCCATCCCACTCCCACCGGACCACACGTCGACCCCTTGGTTGGAACTGGCTTTACAGGGCCAGTGTCTAACCTACAATTTTAATTGGGCAACCAACCAGTTACCCTCATCATTCAAAACCCAGCCCACCTAGTGAGGGTAACAATGGAGGCTCTGAACAGGGTCTTGGCGACCTTTGGACCATAGCTATGGTAGTCCATGGTTCTTCGGAGCAGCATGACCAATGCGCAGATCAATATCACCCTACTGATGGTCAACAATCTCATGCAACATACATTCCAGTCGATTCATTTATTTTTGGACCTAGCAATGGAGGACCCAGTAGTAACACCCCAATTTGCAATGATCGAATAGTTAACTCAGTATGAGGCTATATCTTCAACTGGCTAGACAACACCATTAGGAAACATAATAAAGGAAATAACCAGAGCCTTAGAGATGTTAAAGGGAAAATCAACCAAAGAAGTGGAGTTAGCAAAGAGCAGTTATAACCCACTAAGAACGAACTCGCTGTTATTGGACTCAGTTAGAGCGATAGAATTCAGTATGGACTGCAGCGAGATTCTAGTCCTATTGTGCCCCAAAGCCCTAATCAAGTGCGGAATGGGATTAGGATCTCACCAGAATGAGGGGGTGCTCAAGCCACTGATAACACTGACCTTAGTGCTTCGTATGCAAACCTCGGGAAAGAAGAATATGGTGATGCCTTTTCAGGGGACAAAGAAGGCACAAGTGATAGATTCCCCAATAATCCTAATCCTCCGACGAATTACATAATATGGAATGATAGAGGGGAAAACAATACCGACTTCAGAAGGCACTAATTAGCAATGATCCAACTTCACAAGCATGCTATGCTGGTATTACTGGAAACAAGGGTGAGTGACCACAAGAAGTTGACAGAAGAGCTTCAATTTGAACTGCACATTTAGTTTTAGGCGGTGGTTCTCTCGAGAGGCATTGTTATAATATGGAAGGAGTACATCCTACATGTAGATGAGGTATCCACCACACCCCAAGGTATCTATGTCATGGTTAAAGTATTACCCTCTTATACCCCCTGCTTGTTTCCTGCAATTTATGCAAGTAACCACCTATCTTATAGGAAATGGCTTTGGGAATGTTTAGCTGACATTTCTAAGAACCATAATGGTAGTTGGTTTGTATGAGGTGACTTTAAAGAAGTTATAAAGACTAGGGATATGTTTGGTAGCAATTGCATTAATCCTAACAAAAGTAAATTATTTTGTGACTACATAAACCAATAAATTAGTGGATCTAAGGTACAAAGGTAGTAAATACACTTGGATAACAAGAGGTACAAGAAGAAAACTAGTTTAATTCTTGAAAGAATTGACAGGTGCTTTGCAAATAACTACTGGATCTCGGAGTACCCTGAGGCTATAGTTACCCACCTTCCTAGGATCCACTCTGACTACTGCCCTTCGCTCATTAGACTAAAACATGAACCTAATCCTACAACTAGCAGACCTTTCAGATTTAAAATTAAGTGATGTATCCACCCATCATTCCCCAGCGTTATCCTGCAATCCTTTCCCCCTAATTCCACTCTTATCCACTCAACTCAACTCAATATTTTTAGGATAGTGCTACCTAATGGAAGAAAAATGCCTTTGGTAATATATTCCACAAGAAAAAGGAGGCCCATAGCCAGAATAGCTGACATCCAGAAATCCTCTAACTACCAATACAGTACTTCCTCCTAAATCTAGAAAACTTAACTTGGTTCATGCGCTAGACTCCATCTTTAAGAATGAAGAGGACTTCCAGAAGCTAAAATTCAAAATCAATTGGCTTACTGATGTGGATGCCCATACCAGATTCTTCCATAATTCTACCCTCAATGGGAGAAGAAGAAATAAAATCCTCTCTCTAAAAGATGATTCTGATAACTTGCAACATGACCAACAAGACATCAAAGACTTCATCTTTAAGTACTTTAGCTCCCTCTACACTTCTTCACACACATACTCACCCATTCACACCACCAGCCCAAATATTCAAAACAAAACTCTATCCAATACTCAAAGGGACACCCTGACCTTCCCCCCTTAAGGATAGTGAAGTCAAAAGGGCTATTTTCTCCTTCAAGCCCTTCAAAGCATCCGTACCGAATGGCCTACACCCTTTCTTATGTCAATAATAGTGAAACATAGTGGGCAAGACTGTCATTGAGTTCTTCAAGAAGAGTTTTGAAACTCATACCATGTACCCCACTGTGAATGAAACCTTGTTATGCCTTATTCCAAAATGCCCTCAGGCATCAATGCTTAAGAACTTTAGACCAACAAGGCTTTGTAACACAATCTACAAAACTGTCACCAAGATTGTAGTAAGCAGAATCAAACCTTACCTCCAAGATATAATAGGTCCTAGCCAAGCTAGTTTTCTGCCCAATAGGAGAGCCTCTAATAATGCTATTACTGTTCAGGAATACATTACTCATTTTGGAAAAATGAGAGGCAAAAATGCCAACATGATCTTAAAGATTGACCTGGAAAAGGCTTTTGATAGGTTTGAATGGTACTTCATTATAGACACTCTCCATGCCTTTAATTTCCCAATTGAACTCATCAAGCCCATCCTCTCCTATGTTAGTTTCTCTTCCATATCTATCTTGGTGAATGGCAGCCAAACTAACTCTTTCAAGCCCACCAGGGGAATTAGACAAGGAGATCCCTTATCCCCCTACCTCTTCATCATGTATATGGAGAGAGTCTCTAGGCTCATTGAGAATTCAGTTACTGCCAAAGAACTTAGGTCTGGTCCTAAGATATCCCATCTCTTCTTTGCTAATGACCTAACTCTATTTGCGTGAGCTGATTCCAGGAATTGTAACACTATCATCACACCCTGAACTCCTTGAATGAAGCATCATGCCAGAAAATCAATCTAACCAAGTCTAGAGTCCTCTTTTCCTCAAATTGCAAACTTGATCAGAGGGGAGACCACTTTACCAACCTCTCTATCCAAGCCACCTCCACATTTGGCAAATATTTAGACTTTTCAATGTTCCACAAGAGACTAATCAACAATGATTTTTAATTCATCATTAACAATAAACAATATAAATTGGTTGGGTGAAAAACTAGTTAC